ACTTGTCGCTAATGGCGTGCAAGAGTTCACCGTAGGACGAGAGCAGACCAGCGCCGTAGGCTTTCACCTGACCGTGTTCCTTGCAGAGACCGAATTCAACGGTGAACCAGTAGACCTGCAGAGCGAAAAAGCAAAATCGGAGGAGTGGTTAGTAAGCGCCGCTTAGAAGAAGCATTGTCTTTCGTATGGGAAAAAATGTTTGATTTAATGGGAAACTTGACACTGACACTTGGCCTTTGTTGGCGCGCAACAATGGTCACAGCGGCGCGCGATTTGGCAGGCAAGCAGCAGCAGCAGCAGCAGCAACAGCAGCAGCAGCAGCAACAGCAGTGTTTTTGACCTCAATCGCTGGCAATTGTCAAGCGCAGTAGCCATAGTTTAGCTTTAGCATTGAATTTAGTAATTATTCTTACGTAGTAAGTAAGTAAGCTTCTTACTTGTATGGAAATATAAGTCAAAATTTTAGACTGCACGCTTGTGCTTATTCGTTGTGTATTATTTGTTCAGCTTTGCTGCTTTTTAAGAATTTTTTGGCTGCCAAAGTCGTTTTTTTTTTGGCTTTGGCATTTGTGTAGTTTACAGTCGCACGCGCGCGCGCGCTCGCAGTCACAAGGCCATCAGCCGCAGCAATTGCAACCCACAGCGGCCGCGCGCATGCAATTCAAGATTAAGTTAACCAATAATTGCAGCAATGCACTTGTCCTCCCAGCATGCCCACTGCCAGCGCTGTGCCAAGCGCACGAACTTGAATTAAGCAGCCACCAAGTTTTTTATATATATATAGTACAACTAGTAATGATACCTGATAGCGCGCGCAAGTACTTAAACTTGGCTTAGAAAACTTGCTTTCGTTGGCGCGCGTTCTTGCGCGCTCATACCAGCGCAGTGAGGTAGTGACAATGGCAGTGATGGTGGTGGTTAAGATGATGGAGCGTTCAGCGACGTAAGTTAAGGCGCGCGCGCTAACTCTAAACAACAGCACAGAGACAAGCAACAATGCCCATCGTCGCTAGCGGCGCGCGCGCTCTCATTGCCAGCTGGTGCGCTCGTGTATC